CCTCTGAAATCCTGAGCAGAGATAAGAGGCAACCCCAGAGCTGGTGAAACCTCCCTGGTTTCTCTTCTTATGGGGTGACTTGTTTCTTCCAGACTCCCAGCGCACAGCAGAGAGCTTGGAGGGGCTTGGCTGTGCCTGGGGTCTGAGCATCTTCTAGGTATGAACCCAGGTTAGCAGCTGCCAAAGTATTGGTGCAGCTGGGTTGACCCAGCGCTGAGGGATCTGGTGGAGTTGGGAACGGTCAGGGTGAGGTTCATGGTTGGACTGGAGGAGTTTCAAGGGCTTTTCCAACCGAGATGATTCTGGAATTCTGTGATTCTGTGCCCTCAAGTGTACTCCAAGCATGGAGATGACTGAATTGTTTGGGATGTCTCTGTGGACTGGCTGATGTGCTTGCAACTCAGTTTATCCATGTAAAGGCGTTTGGGATCCTCCAATCTCTATCTCTTCCATGCAGCACGGGAGCTGTTTAACCATCACCTGTCAGAGTAGCTGCCGAGGGTGCAGGACAATGTTTCTTCAATTCTCTAAGCCAGGTCTACAGAGCAGATCATAGCTAGAGATGAAGTCTATTTTCACCAATACTTCTGTAAAATCCTGGGAAGAGCTATAAACATAGCTCTTCCATATATACCACTATAAAAGTGTGTCTTGCTGATAAAGCTTATTTTGCTTGCTGAATTGGTGTAGGTTCTACTGATAAAACCTGCGCTCCCTGCTACAGATTGCATATTATGCTGGGTTTGCTGAGATCACTAACCTGAAGCTCCTCTAGCATAGATTAGACTCAATTACTGAGAAATCTGATTGTGAAGTTAATGTAATGCCTGGAAGATCAAACCTCTGTGTCCTCCCCACCACGTATCATGGTTTTCTGAGATAAAACACTTTTTATAACTCTCATTATAGATTTCTGAGCTACTATTCAAACCCAGCCAGGAAGGTGCTTTCTAGCAATCTCCTCTGGTGCACCCAAAGGTCTCTGTTCCCTGCACTGCCATGGAGTTCATTCTGCCCTGTTTCCTTCATGCCTTTCTTTAAAGACCAAAAGATCCTTTAAAGCACCTTTAAACAGGTCTCTTCCAGGAAAGTTATGGAAAGCCATGAGTTTATGGACAGAGTTTTCCTTTGACTGAAGGTGGTTTTGGAAGAGGAGCTGGTTTCTCACTACCCCTCACCTCCAATGTCTTCCACTAAAACCAGGCACCAACAGGCTCGTGGCTGTGTCCCACTGTGTGGATCCTCAAGGCTTCAGGAGGGCAGGAAACCTTTGGAGATAAAATGTGAGTGCAGTTGTCAGCTGAGCATCATAGATGCTCTGAGGTGAAACCATTTGAGGCTGTTTCCTGGGGTAGAGGATAACCACCAGCAGGGCCATCCAGTGGGGCCTGGGGCATGGCTGGGGCGGGGATCGCATCGCAGATGCCCACCAGCACAGTCCATGACTTGAGCTGTTGCTTAGCCCAGCCCAGGAGTCATGATTTGAAGTGCTCGAGAGCAGCCCCTCTCCATAGTACATCCTCTGCTGCTCCTGAGAAGGCTGCTGTAATGCCACGGGTAGGAAGAGGTTGTCTTCTTGCACACCAGCCCTGGCTTGCTGAGGGGCTGGGAGGCTCCAGCACGGTGTGCAGGAGGCAGCTGGGAGTGTGCTGTTACTGGGAGGAGGGTGGAGGAATGTGGAGGCTCTTTCCAAGAGCCTTGGCTCATCAGGAATTTGGCCTGAATTTTCTTCCCCCTCCTGCCTCTCCTATCTGAGCATTTCCCAGGGGCTGTGGGCAGAGACAGGTTCTCCCAGCACCTGGCCTGATACTCCTCAGAGAGCTTGCATGGATTATTTGCTGCTGCTTCAGATCAGCTGTGCTAGGCAGGAATGAGAGGCAGGTCGGGAATGCCAGAAAGAGCTAAGCTCTGCTTGCCTGGAGGGCTCCAGGGAGGCAGGAGACCTGGGATCTGGCTGGGTCTGGGACAAACCTGTGCCCTTTTGTGCCCTGGGCATCCCTACCCAGTGCTCTGCAGGAAAAGAGGCTCAGCTTGCACAGGGCAGTGGCTGGGCGCTTCTGGGCCAGGGAAACAGGAGGGTGCTTTGGTCAGGGCATCACCAGAGGTGCTGTGGGTGCTGGGTGAGGGTGCCCAGTGTGAAAGGGCTGGCTGCAAAGGCCTTGGTGATGACCATGTGTTGTTTCCTCTTTGGAATGTCAGGACTTTCTGCATGTGTATCACGACCATCCGATGAGGCTGTAGCCCCTGGCCCAGGTGCAGCTGTGGGTTTGGCTGTGCTGGGTGTTTATAGTGCCTCTATTGCTTTTGAAGATAAGGACAATCTTAGTATTTTATTGCCCCCCTTTCTTCATCCGAGGCACCATCCAGAGCAAGAAGAAGAGAGGGGAAGGACTCATTTCCTTATGACGGGGGATTAGTCATTGCAGCCTGACCCTCCAGCGAGGGACTCTGCAAGGCCCCCTGCTCCACCATGCCATCCTGTGAGCTCAGCGAGGGCTCCAGGCCAGGGCTCAGAGGAGAGAGCTGCTCCCCACCCAGCCCTCTTCCCACCTTTCCTCTGCTTTCACCCTGGCTGCCTGTCCCCCTCGCATCCCACTCCTGTCTGGAGCGGGGGCTCTGACTTTCCTGTGGGAAAACCCAGAACACCTTCAGCTTTTCCCGCTGAGCTGGTGAGGGGCAAGAGGAGACCCACAGGGTGGCTCTGTGCCGCGCTTGCTGGCTCAGCTCCATCGCCTTGCTCACGCTCGCTGTCGCGGAGCTCGCTTCCGGGGCAGTCTGGGCTCTGTCCTCTCTGGCCCTGGGCTGGGCTGCATCCAGCCTGCCCTTAAGGACCCAGCTTATCGATAATGGGGAGTGGGACTATTGCATGAGGCAGAGATAACCACTGCTACCACCTTCATGCACCCGTTGTCCTTCCCTTCCCCGTCCTCCACTCCTGCTGGTAGAGAAGTAGAAAATCCTTTTCAACCTGCCTTGCCCTGTAGCCAAGTTTCACATCTTTGGGTGTGTTCAAACTAAAGGCCAGAAAAGCTCGAGGGGAGAAACCTTCCCCTCCCTGAGCCCACCCACACTTAATGCAGGGGCTGGGGAAAGCCTTGTCCACTTTTCAGTGTGATGCTTGCCAGCTCCTCCTTTGCAGTGCCGCAGGTGAAGCTGTCATGCTGCACCCACAGAACAGGGGTCTGGCACTGCAAGGGGCCCCAGCGGGGTTTCTTCCTCACCCCTGCAACTCGAGCTCCTCACTCTGCCTGCCCCTGCCTGTTACAGCTGCCTCTCCTCTGGGGGAAAGCTGTGCAAAAGCTGACTCTAAAGCCAGAAATCTTTCCTTCTGCTGCTTGAATTAAAGTGTTAATAAACCCAGAAGCAATCAAACTCCGAACAAAGCGTTCTGAATGCCCCCTTGTTTAATTAGCGGAGCCTCTGCCCGCAGACACAGGCAGTGCTACCCAGCCCCGCAGCCTAGGGTGGGAGGCAAGGGGTGAGAATGCAGCGCCCAGGAATTCCGTCTCTTTGGAGGCGTGACTTCTTGTACCAACTATTTTCTCACCTTCTCTCTGTGTCACCAGCCCAGAAACAAAACATTTATAGCTGAAGGACTTAAGTGAACTTTCAGCATCTCCTGGGGGGCTGGAGCTGGCAGACTAAGCCCCTTGCACGTTTTCCATCCTCTGCACTCAGAGCTCTCTGCCCCAAGGTAGCACTAAGTAACTCAGCCGTCTCAGGGCTGAGACAGTGCTTTGTCCCTTGGCCATGGAAAGGGGGTGACTGGCTTTTGCCTTGAAATCCACTCTGGTCCCCTCCACCGAGCGTCACCCTGGGGATGGGTCCCCGGGTGGCCCCTTGCTCCGTGAGGAGGGGAGAAAGGTGATTCTCTGTTATCAGGAGTGTGTTAACCCCACAGCAAACATGATTTCACTGGTGCAAGGGTAACGGTGGTGACATTTGAGCAGGGAACATGGTCCCCTCCTTTCTGGGACTTAATCTAAATTGCTTTATGAAGGGCCAACATGTAGACCAAACCCTCCTGCTCCCCGGAGCATGGGGAGCCAGGGTAAGGGGGTCCCCAGGTGTCTGTGCTGTGGCGCGGCAGCGCAGGGGTTATCTTGCCTGCAGTGGTGGCATGTCAGAAGGGGCACAGTGCTTAAAATGTACATGTAGGGCTGGGCTGCCTGCACCTCCTCCTCCTGCCATGCCCTGACACAGGCAGTGCATCCCCCGGTGCCCCCGGCAGCTGGTTGGGAGCTGTCACGCTGCTGCTTCTGTGCAGGGCTGCAACCATGCAGCACATCCCACCGCTGCTGAATGGTCGTATGGAGCAGGCTTAACCCCTGCCCGCCCATCCCTTGCGGCTCACCAATGTCTTGCTGGTGTCGTTTTTTCTCCCAAAACAGTCCCTGCAAGGACCCCTGGGCTATGGACCTGCCTGTGAGACCCCTCTGTGTTGGAGTGCACAGCCTCTGCTGTGGCCAGTGGTTGCCTTGGGTTCTTGGGCCTGTGTTGCCTCCTGGGTGCTCCCAGCACCCTGGGATGGAGATGGGATCATGCCAGGGCTCTCCCCACTGCCTGAGGACCTTGACATACCACATGCACCCAGGGGCAGCAAATTCTGCTGTGGTCACTCCAGTCCCTGTGATACTTGCACCTTTAGAAACGAGCAGGACTGGGGTGGAGTGGGGTGGGGGGTGGTGATGCGTGTGTTGCCTGCTGTTAGCCCCCGGGGAGCTACACTTGCTCTGGCTAGCACCCTTGCGGTGGTGGCACATGGCAACCTCCCAGCGTGGTGCCCAGGGACAAACCGTGCAGGGGAGTGACCCCCACTCCACCCTCCAGACTGGGCTACTGGGTGGAAAAGCCATGGCGGGGGTGGGACACGGCAGGCCAGAGCAAGGGTGGGGGGCACTCTCTGCATTATGGACCTGCCGTGCAGGCGAGCACAGTCACCACAGCCCACCCTGCCGGGGAGCTGCCAGGGCCCTTCAGTGTCGGAGGAAAGCTCAGCCACAGCCTGGCTAGAAACACAGATTTATTGCGACATCACTTTGCAGCCAGCACTCACCCCCCCACCCCCCACCCCCCCCGGCAGTGACTCCAGACCCATGCAGGCCCTCTGACCCCACTGTGCTGCCTCTGTGGCCAGCGGGCTGGTCCCTGGGGCCACAAGTGCACCCAGCTCCATCCAGAGGGGCTCGCTGGGGCTGCAGGCTGGGGTCCGGCTGTGTCAGGGGCTGCCTGCAAGATGGCAGAGCAGAGGAGGGAAGAGAAATAAGGTTCAAGGTCCTTCACTGATGTAAGCCATCAGATGGGATCTCCGAGCAGTCACCGGGCTCTCGGGATACCTGAGGAAGAGCGGGGTCACATCCCCCAAGTGTGTGAGTGAGAGGGCTGAGCACGGGAGATGTCCTCTCCTCTCACCACACTCCCTTGGTGCCAGCCCAGATGCTTTGGGGAGCCAGGAGAGGTGCCAGCCCAGCTCCCACCTGCAGCCGTTACACGTATCCCGTCAGGTTGTAGGAGTTGAGCTCACTCTTGGTCTTCTGTGTCTGGCTGACAGAGGGCTGGTGACTCTTGCCTGCCAGCAGCCCAGGCTGGTAGGTGCTTCCGTAGGTGGCCGTTGCATCCCGGGCAGGGCAGGAGGTGCAGAGGATGAAGCCACCGATGAGGGAGAGGAGGGAGGAGATGATGCCCAGGTAAAGTGCCTCCCCAAGCTCAAACTTCATGCTGTCGGGAAGGACAGGGTTGTGGAAATCCCGCAGCACCACATGGATGTTCCAGACCAGTGGGATGAAGCAGAGCAGCCCCCCAAGGATGAAGACCGCGCCGCCCGCCACCGCTACCCGGTCCTTGCCTGGCGAGCCCTGGCTGAAAACAGTGCACCTCATGCCCACGACGGTGAGGAGACAGGCGAGGGAGGAGATGGCACAGGAGCTCACCATCAGGGCCTGGGCTGCCTGGATGTCGGCGGGCAGGTTGAGCAGGGAGCTGTAGATGTCACACTGGGTGATGCCCGTGCTGTATGTGGCACATTCCATCCACAGCCCCTTGGTGAAGCTCACGGCTGTCACGATGCTGGAGCCGATGTAGGAGCTGGTCTTCCAGCTGGGCAGCAGTGTGGCTGTCAGCGTGCCAATGTAGCCCAGGAAGGCCACGGCATAGCCCAGCAGCTGCAGCCCCATGGAGACCATGGTGGGGGCTGGCTGTCACCTCCCTGGGGCTCACTGCCTCTCTCCCGGCTTGCTGGCAGCTGGCTCCCACACGCTTACCTTCCCATGGCCCTGCCAGCGGCTCCGCTCCCTGTGCCGCAGCTCCACCCCGCTCCTGGGGATGCTGGTTTTGTGAGGGCACCGGCGTGTGGGTGGGAGCTGGGGGGGGAGGAGAGGTTACCTACAAGAGGGGAAAGCAATCCCTCCCCGATTAACGATTGACCCAAGCCTGTGGAGGAACGCCAAGCGCCCTTTCACCTCCGCTATCTCCCTAGCCAGTCTTCAGAGGCAGAGCAGCGCTGCCTGGGAAAGACGCCAAAGCCCTCCCTTGTGCTGGGGCTGCGGGCAGGGATGGAGAGCTGGCTGCTGGTGGGGGGAAAGTGTCCTGGGGATCTCCTGTCCTGGGGATCCCTTGTGTTCTGTGATGTCCCAAGACAGGGAAGCCAAAAAGCTACGGCTGTGCCGTGTTGTTTGGGAACTGCTGGAGGTGATTTCAGGTGGTGGCCCTGAGGCTCCCCCAGGAGAGAAAGGGTGATTGCACCTCATCCCCATCTGCACAGGGTTCACCCAAGGCATCTGCAGCCACTTGCCACCCACACCAAGCTGCTGAGGCTCCGGTGGGACAACGGGATGTGCCCACCTGCGGTTGAATCATGACTGTCAGCCTTTCTGTGCCACTGAGGGCAAGGATGGAGAGGGATACATGTGACAGTGACGCCTGCAACCCCAGGAGAGCCTGGAGTTCCATGGAGGGCAGAATTACAACCAGGGCAAAGCACCCTGGCAGTGTTTAGGGGATGCCTCCCAGAAGCACCCCAAAAGAGCAGGGTGACCTGTCCCTCGGTGAAGTGAGCACACTGGGGTGCAGCTTGTGTTTGCTGCTGCTGGCGGGGGTTTTCTGCTGGTGCTATCCCCTGCCTGCAGCCCTGGGCACAGGCGGGGGGGGTTTGGCAGAGGCAGTGAAGTGGGGTGGTTTGTTTTCCCTCTGCCTTGTTTCAAAATTCCCCCTCCCGCAGCATCTTGCGAAACTGGACTGAGCCCACACCACAGCACACTGACACCGGAGCCGGCGGCCTCTCGCCCTGCGAATGCTCCTGGCTGGGAGTGCAACCACCACCCAGTGCCTCTGCTCCTCTCTCTGTCCTCCCACTGGCACCTCAAACACTTGGTATCAAAGCTGCCCAACTTTCTGTCTCCTTTCCCGTGCACTAACCAAGACCCCTTGCTCTGTCTCAGGGGTGTTGCTGCAAAAGAAACACCTGGGGTGCTTGGGGTGCCAGCAAAAAGGCAGGGGAGGGTCATGCCAGAGCTCTGTGGTACTTACGGAGGCGGCTGGAGACGCGGGACCGAAGGTGGCCGTGGCTGGGGGTCACCCAAGACTGGAGGTGGCTTGTTGGGGCAGGGCAGGGGGATCAGGAGCTGTGAATTGTTTAGTTGCAGCTTTGCGAAATCCACCTGCAAATCTCAGCCTGGATCAGAGGCTTATTGCAAATCAGAATTAAACCCTTTCAGCGTCGGGAAGGACTGAGGAGCTGCGAAGCCTTGTTTTGCTTGTTGTCTATTAATTATTGGGGCAGGTTTGACTCAGTGGCTCAGGTCTGTAGCTTGTTGTCAGCTTCTCGGCCAGCCTTGGGGGCTGGCGGGTGACTGTGTGCCACTTCAGGCTGCGTCACCCGTGCTGGGGTTAGAGGTGCAGTGAAATGACAGCAGGTTGAACTCCCCGCGTCCACTTGGTGAGCTTGAGCTTTCAGTTCACTCCTCCTGGCCCTGCTGGTCCTTCCCGGGGTTTGTTGTTGTAAGACTCCTGGCCCAAATGAGGAGCAAATGGAGACGGTAATGAGGGCTGCGCTGGCCCCGTGCCCCCTCCTGCTCACCGGCTGCCACAGATGGAGAGGGGCAGGGAGGGCCTCTGTGACAAATTGTGCTCAGAGCTGAGCAGGGTCCTGCTGGCATTTGGATGAGGGTGTTTGGATGCTGATAGCAGAGCTACAGCAGGGACCATTTGCTATTTTCTTTCCCTGTCCCAAATTGAAACCCTCTTGGGAGTGGAAGGTGACCTATCTGTCAGCAGCACCTTGCCTGGTGCGCTTGGGCAGGAGCAGTGGGCAGGGGCAGGACGTGTGGCAGTGCTGAGAGCAGGGAGAGAGCCTGGCACCCGTGTATCAAGAAGTTTTCTGTACCTCCTGCTATGGTCCACGTCTCAAAAAGCCAAGGAGGGCAGGGAGCACAGGCGAGCGTGTGTTCTCCCCACTGTGTGGACAGTGTGGGAACAGGCCTGGCAGCTCCCTGGGGTGATCTGAGCGTTGCCCTGCCTGTGCCTGCCACTGCCATCCGTCTGCCCTCCCTGCCCTCTCTTCAGCGGATGCCTATCATCACCTGTCTGTCTCCTGGTTGCTCCGTGCTTGCCACCACTGCAGCCCATCCCATGGCCACTGCACTGTCCCCATCTCATGCCCATCGTGCTGCCCCAGCACTCCCTGGCCCTTCCCCACCTCCCCTCTCCCTTATGCAAATGGCTATAAAGAGCACTTAATCATCCTCGTTAATTGCCTCTGCCCTCCCCTGTTACCCCCTGGGGATTTTCTCACAAATGGTGTCTAACTTTTCCCTTCTGTGTTTTGCTTTTCCACCAGAGATCACAGCCCCTCCGCCCCCAGCCTCCCCCCGACCCTCTGTTTACACAACTGGGACAAATTTCACACCCCAGGGACTGCTGTCCCTGCCCCCCCCCAGTCCCTTGCTTCCCTGCCCTTGCCCCTGCCCAGAAGAATTTGTAAACCACTGGCCGGGCCAGGGCTATAAAAGTGTCCTTGCCAAGGGTCTGCAGCGTCAGAGGGGACACGGTTGCCTACCACCATGGAAGCTGCTGCCTGTTGCCTGCCTGCCTGTGCGCTCCGGGTGCCTGTGGCCAGTGCTTGCCCAGCCCTGGGGCTGGAGCAAGGGGGAAGGTACCTGCGTGCTGCACATCTAGGGGGGTCTGGGGAGGGTGGGGAGGGCAGAGGGTGCATGGGAGGTGGGATGGGGTAGGCTCCAGCTAGATATGGGTGAAGGCTGCGTGGGTCACTGCACTGATGGGGACCCTTCTGATCCTGGCAGCTGCTGGTGGGAGAGAGGGTGCAGAGCCCGGGGGCAATGCCAGTGGCTCCCAGGGGTGCTGGGGGGCTGAAGCAGGGTGAGGAGCACTGATCTGGTATAAGTGCACCCACATATGCCTGGCACCCCAGCCACGCACCCAGACAGGGGCTGAGCCAGGCAGGCGAGACTGTGAGGCTGGGTGTCTGCGGTGGAGGGAGCACGGCAAGGGGGGAGCGGGCCAGGGTGGGCAGCTGTTGCGCTGAACCTGCTCTCCACACTTAGATCCCTGCCTCTATGGAGACCGTGGCTGCTACGAGCAGAGGAAGAAACTGGGCGTCAGAGGGAGCAGATGGACACTGTGAGTTTTACACTTCCTGCCACGTCCCTCCCAGTTTCCTGCTGGCAGGGCTGGGGCAGGAAACCAGCCTCTTGCCCCAGACTCCTTCAACCCCGGCCCTGTTGCAGGGCAGTGCAGTGCCCACCTCCCCTGGTGCTGTTACCCCTCTGCCCCACAAGCCCCCCAGCCTTGCCGGGGCAGGACAGGGCCAGGCAGACCTCCCTGGGGCAGCTACAGCCAGCACAGCTACGCCACGAGGGCCTGAAAGAGCTGCCTGTTCCCAGGCCTGGCGGGCATTCCTCAGGGGGTTAGCGGAGCCTGGGCACGAGCTTTTGAGCACGGGGGGCAGATTATGCTGGCAAAAAGCCCACTGGTGGGGAGTCGCTGCTGTAGCTTCCTCTGTGGGGGCATGAGGACCGAAACCGAGGGGCAGAGGGAGATGCTGGCTGCAGCCTGTGGGAATCAGCCCCGCCGACAGGGCAGAGAGGCCGCTGCGCCAGGGAGAGGGGGCAGTGGGAGCCCTGGGGCACGGCCCACTCCGACTGTGTCTCCTCAGGCTTGTGCTCGGGAGGCGGCAGGGGACGGCGGCCCCAACAAAGCGCTGGCGGCTTTCCACCACCCAGTCAGGTACGTTTGTCCCCCCCTGCCGCCAGCGCCCTGGCGGGCAGCAAGGGCAGCGGGCAGGCGGGGGCTCTCACCCCGCATTGCCCCACACACAGGCTCCTCTGGCCCAAGTCCAAGTGCTTTGACTATCTGTACGGCGTCGGGGAGAAGCTGCTGGAGAACTTCCCGGTGCAGGCAACCCTCTGCCTCTATGAGGACTCCGGCAGCGAGGAGGAGGAGGAGGAGGA